CATCATTCAGGAAATGATTGAAATGTCCGAAAATGACGCCAAAATACACCTTAAAAGTCCCATTTTATTTTATTTTTTCTAAATCCCATCCCGAATTTACGGCAGAATCTGGTCCCTCAAATAAGGGACACGTGAGCTTTGATTCTAACCGGATATATTGCACTGGGTCGGGGAGATGCAAACTTTCGTGTATCTTTTGTCTAATGGGTACCTGTACTTCGATCATTCGCAAGTTTTGCTAGGTGGTGCGAGACAGCTTTGTTTGCAACCGGACGAACTCAGTTTAATTCAATGAAGCAAACAACTGACACTGCTAAAATAAATTGCAGAGGTACGCTAAAATTAATTGAAAACAAGCAAATAATTTCAATGAAAAATAAATCACAGAGAGAGGTAACTTGATACATTAACAACTCTTTTGACGCGCTGACCGCTTCTCCGCATTTAGTAAGAGAATAAACTGTTGACAGTCCCGCTGGCCTATTTTGATTAAATCGAGGCATTTAATCAAATCAGTTTAGAGGAACTATATGCAGCCTAGTAAGAGAACTGCCATGGGAAAACATAGCCCATGGTTTATCTAAGCACAGTCCTTACACTGTGATCCAAGCTCGCTATTTAGGGGTCAAGTCAAGGTTATGCTGACATTTTGTATGACGCGTGTCCTAGATTCGCTACGCTTGAAAGACGTCATATCGAAGTATCATGGCAACTTTGTATTAGGCATACGAATATTTACATAAGCGTATTTTATTATTTTATACCTTGAGACGTCTCTACTACTACCCAGGTATATAATTAGGGATACACTCAAAAGACTCGTCACTGGTACAGGACTGGCGGCGGAATCGACTAAAATTGCTCCGGTGAGTACCCCCGTTCACACACAGCAATGAGTTCGTGCCATCATGTAGCTCACCTGTGCCCATGGGAATGGGCATAATCGGTACACAATTCATACTGTAAAGGGGTTCATTATTCCCTGGGTTTTAATTTTGCTTATTTCACTGACTGAAAAATGCGCTAATATGTAAAAATTAGCATAGAACACGTTATCTAAATGATAAAAACTAACCCACTGAATATGCCTGAAATGATAAATCAGTGAAATTTAAATCCAGTGAAAATTAGTAATTTTACAGTATTTAGACCATCTGCTATGCCTCAAATAACGCGTACATTACTGACGTGGGTTGGGGGGGGGGGGTACTTCCATATTAAGTGGGTAAGGGTGTGAAGCCCACCTCTCGTAAACCATACTCACTTCTAAACCATTGTTTTCTATTTATATACCCACTTCTAAACACAAGTGTTTTCAGCAAAAATAAAAACGCACACCCAGCTCACAACTTTCGCAACCAGTGAGCGCATCCCTGCGATGCATAAAATTCAGCCTTTTCCGGTATTTGGCCTTGAATATAAGGACCTGTGTAATAGTAAATAAATGCTACACACTTCTAAACCAAACCATGTATAAATGACCACCCACTTATAAACAAAATAACGTAAAATGACACCCCAGTCGGGGCGGCACATACCCGTATTGCACTTCTATGCAAGTAGCCCCCCCCCCCGTGGGGGGGGATACATATGCAATGGCACCGTTTCTGCTGAGAATGTAAACCCGCGGCATGTGCTATGTTTGCGCGCACACAGCTGCTGTCTACGCCCAGTCAAGCCGGATGCAACCATATAGTATCGGTGCAATGGTTGGGTTCAAGGTCACAAATTAAGGGTCCCAACGGATGTGATCGTTGTCTCGTATTACTGTGACTGAAATACTTCATTTTAGCTGGAATTAATTTTGGCTGGAAATACTTTGTGTGTTTTGTGTGGATTTTATTTTCACTGATTTTTCACGAGTTGAATGTAAAATATATGAAAAAAGTGTATTCGCTCAATTTTATTTTCACTGTTCAAGGTCACAAAGCATGTGATATTTTTCATAAATCGTTTCTCGTAATAGTTTACTACGTGTGGCACTTGTGCAGCGCCCAACAACGCCTCGATATACCTGTCGTCGAGGGCGCAATTTGTGAGTCGTTGTCGGTAAACAAAAATGCGTAATTACAAATATTAGATATTTTTTCTGCTATAAATATAAACGCATTTAGTGTATACATTTAATTATATCTAGAGTTTTCCTAAAACCTAGACCGCCAGGGTAGGATCCCATTAGAATATAATATATAATTGTACGTTATAAAATGACGGAATTTGTCTTCACGTTGTATTTTAAAATTTAAGAGGTATTATGTGCTCACCTTTTCGCTGCAGTACATGTGCGTAAACAAAATCATGATCTTTATTTTTCAGAGTTTTTCCCCCCATTTTTTTCAACCATGGTTATAAGGAAGGTGGCAGTGATTGGAGCTGGTGCAAGTGGCCTGTCTGCGATTAAATCATGCCTAGAAGAAGGCCTGGAACCAATTTGCTTTGAGAAAGGCACTGATATTGGAGGACTGTGGAACTACCACGAGGACAACAGACACGGACATGCAAGCGTGTTCAAGTCGACCACTATAAACACAAGTAAAGAAATCATGGCGTTCAGTGATTTCCCCATTCCAAGTAAATACCCGAATTTCATGCCACATAACTACGTACTAGCGTACTTCAGATTGTATGCGGACCGTTTCAAACTGCTGCCGTACATCAAATTCAACATCTGTGTTGAGAGTATAAAACCAAACGCAGATTACGCGTTAAATGGCAAATGGGACATCTGCTTCAGAGACGTGACCAAACAAGAAGTTGTAACCCAAACGTTTGATGCTGTCCTAGTTTGCACCGGCCATCATGTTGATCCGAACGTTCCCGAGTTTCCGGGCCAAGACGACTTCAAAGGGAAGATAGTGCATACTCACGATTACAAGAATTTCTATGGTTACGAGAATAAAAGAGTGGTTGTGATTGGTACAGGTAATTCGGGTGGCGATGCTGCAGTTGATTTAGCAAATGTTACTTCACAGGTAATTTATGTATTCATATGCCCATATTACGTAATTTCTTTCAATATTCATGTTGTAGGTCCTTACCATTGAGACAAAACACTGGAGAATAATTCGTGTCTTATTATTCTTGTAAAAAGCATTATTATTATTCTCTCCCACAATCATGATGCAATGTTATGTAGGCAGTAGTTGTAAAATGTGAATTTGGATCGAACTACAAATCAACCCAAAAATGAAAATCAAAAATCCGAATTTGTAAATATATTTTTTAATTTGAGTTTTACAAATACATTGGAATAGTATGTAATATATGCCTCAAACTGTCCATAACTTCGTATCCTTTAAAATATGATATTCATTGGTAACTAATATGAATAGTTGTATAAACAATTATAAATATTCCCAATTTTCTCAAAAAATATTAACAGAATTCTACTGGTATAACTTACTTACAATTTTTTCTTTAAAAAATGCTCAAAAGCTCAGGACATTGCATTTTGAGATCAAACCGTATTCATAGACTGGGCTGCCGTGGTAGCGGGATGTAAAATGTGTTCATAGACCCTCGCACACAATCAGCAAAACTTATAAATATTTGATCTGAACAAACACAAAAAGATGCTCTGGTGCTGCATTGTTGAGGGCGTTAAATGGAGACTTTTATATTGCAGTGGCTTCTAACTGCGCTTTCCTCTATTTGGTTCACAGAAAAACGCTCTCTGGCTCGCACTAATGGTATCGTAATACTTTCTTTTATTTCTTTAGGTATTCCTCAGTACAAGACGCGGCACCTGGGTTATATTCCGTATCGCCGATAGTGGATTGCCAGGTGACTTTGTCGGAGTTAGACGCTATATTTCTGAGTGGTTACCAGAGTCGATGTTGGTTGGTATCCTGGAGAAGATGATGAATAAACGATTCGACCATGCTCTTTTCGGTCTGTTACCTAAACACCGAGCCAATCAACAGCAACTCATGGTAAACGATGCCCTGCCCAATGTGATTCAGACCGGACGAATTTGCGTCAAGCCGAACGTAAAACGCTTCACCAATACTGGCGTGGAATTTGAAGATGGTACGTTTGAAGACGGTATCGACAGTGTTGTCATGGCGACCGGATACAAGATTAAGTTCACATTTCTCGATGAGTCTGTTGTAAAGGTCAACGACAACGAGGTTTCTTTGTACAAGTACGTATTTCCACCATTACTAAAACATGGTACGTTAGCAGTGATCGGACTCGTTCAACCAATAGGCTCTACTGTCCCCATCGCTGAAATACAAAGTAGGTGGGCAACCCGCGTGTTCACAGGAGCCGCTAAGTTGCCACCAAAAGATATCATGTTGGCAGACATCAATGCGAAGCGGGAAGCCATGGCGTCACGATATATCAAATCACAGCGTTACACAATACAGGTCGACTATATTCCTTATATGGATGAAATAGCAGCACAATTCGGCGTACGACCAAATTTCAAGAAGCTGTTCTTCACTGACCCTAAATTAGCTTTCAAGTGTTATTTTGGGCCTTTCTCAACGTACCAATACCGATTAATTGGCCCGGGGAAATGGGAGGGGGCAAGGGAGACTATTGTGACGATTTGGGACAGAGTTGCGGCACCATTGAATACTCGCAAAGTCGAAATGCCCCAAAGAGATTCCAGCTTTGGCGGTATTCTGAAAATGTTAGTGTTTTTAGTTGCATTTCTTGCAGTATTTTGGAAATGTTGTCAGTAAAAGAATTCATATTCCTGGAAGAACCAAGGTGAAGATAAACAATATTAAAATCAATAATATTTAAATCTAGAAATTATTAAATATTAAATGATTTATCATAAAATAATATTCGTTTATTTTATAAATTGGCGGATTATGCAAATGCGCACACATTTTTAATGTATGGTGCGTACCAATCAATCAATCAATCAATAAAATATTTTATTTTTACCTAATAATGTACACTTGTAGTTTACAAAACAAGAATCAATTTATAAATAGGTAAAATAGAAACCAGAAATAGCCGTTAGCTAATCTAGTCTGATTCCTCAAAAAACAAAATGAATTACACTATCTTTGAGGGTGATTTATAATAACCTGAACCTGTAAGTGAAGCCAACAATAATAATAATAATAATAATAATAATAACATCAATGATAATAATGATAATTATTATTATTCAATTAATTTTTCTTTCATTTTTAACTTAAATAATTTCCTTGAGGTAATGTATTTTATATTCTGTGTTATGTCTGTCATCGTTTAGGCCTATTTGAAGTTTTGGACGGAACTTGGCTCAGTGATTTGGAACTAATTACGAGATAACCATCGCTATTCTGACTATTGATTTTGACAGTTGGTATCCGTAGTTATTAATGTAGTGAACGATTAATCAAAAGATATGACGTATTCAGTACTTAGTGTGATTGGCTTTATGATTGAAGGTTACGCCCTAGAGTCTTTTTACTGTTTTGTAATTGGTTAGAGTTTTGAAAATGAATAAAGAGAGTTTGAGTTGGTCTTGGGGAACACAGCACGATAGACGCAGTCTAGAGCAGTCCTGGAGAGACTTGGGGCGAGTGTTGACACAGTCTAAGAGAGTCTTG